TATATATATATAATGTGTATATGTATACGTTATATATTTATTATAGATTTTCCGAGTATTTCCCGAATATTAGTGTTTACGCGAATATTTTTCGAGAGAATAAGGCCCCAGGTGAGAAATATGAAGAATATGGCGCGTGCGTTGATTGAAAGATAAAGACGTCGGTTCGTGATGCGCGACAGAAATACGCGTGTCGTGGACTATCGTTCCGTGCGGGAAGATTCGCCCTTGCCGAGTAGTTCCGCTTTAATAGCCGGTTGCCCTGCGCTACCGTCGTCCGAACGTCATTTTTAGTTTAGCGCACAAAGCAGGTGCACGTACACGCCCGGCTTATAAGATCCCCCTGTTCTCCCTTTTACTGCGTGCAAGCGTTCTGATAGCCGGTGGACGTGACGTAATGCACCCCGCATCTTCCGGAGAGAGAGAGAGAGAGAGAGAGAGAGAGAGAGAGAGAGAGAGATTGCTTGTCACCGGCACCCAGTATCTCACTCGTTTACTGTTAATGAGATCTCGAATTCAGAGACGGTTATTTTTCTTCAACTTTTATTACTGTTATACTTCATAATATTTAATTATTTGACATACGCAAATAACATTTAAAAATAATTTCTTTTCCAAGGTAAGCATTTCATTCTCAGAATTTCGATATAGATATCTCAAATAAATAATTGATAGAATATTTCCCAAAAAGAGTATAATACAATATATTGTAAAAATTCCAAGTGCGAAATACATGAAATAGAAGAAGAGTACGAGTATTATTTAGAGGGGAGCATTTTCACGTTATGCGGAAATTGAAGATGATAAATCTTTTCCAATAGATCTCGGTGCATGTAACGAATGATAAATTATAAATAAAATTCTCGGCGTGTGAAATTGCACATCGGAGGCAGGCAATAGTTGTAAATTTCGAGCTCTCGATGATAAAGTGATTAAATACATTTTCAACCGATTGAACACATTTCCCCCGTAATTTCACCTGTACAGTGATGGGTTTAGCTTGTTCCAACGTTGTTCGATTCGCGCTATACGTTTACATCGATTGCCCGCTCCCATCCGCGCGAAACTTGTGTCACTCGTGAATTTCATTTGCTCTCGATTCATTTTCGCGAGCGATCATTTCTCCCTCTGGTCGCGCTCCGCTCGCAACATCGATTACTATTAGTGCCG